AATTGGTTCATCCCTTGGATTTTTCTTCTTTCTACCTTAGTTCCTTCTTATGGTGGTTTCAATAGGTTTAAAAATTCTATATTCATTCTTGCATAGAGAGTACTGGATGAGGGCATTTAAAAGAACTTCAGGATACCAAAAATCAGGACCACAAACTGCCTTCCACTCCTTTTCTAGGGTTACAAGAAGCAGTCATTTCAATAAATGGTTGCTGGGAAAATTGGTATCTACAATGCAGAAGAATGAAATTTGATTCCTATTTCCCACCTGTTACAAAAATCAACTCAAAATGGATTAAAGACATAAATGTAAGACTTGAAACTATGAAATTAGTAGAAGAAAACACAAGGGAAATGCTTCAGGACACTAGAATGGGTGAAGATTTTTAAGATAACACCCTGAAACAAAAGGAAGAATATACAAAATGGGATTATACTGACCTAAAAAGATTTTGCAGCAAAGGAAACAACCAACAGAGTGAAGAGACAACTTACAGAATGAGAGAAATATTTGAAACTATACATCTGACAAAGGATCGATATCCAGAACTCTGGGCTGCTCATGGTAGTGCATGCCTGTAATTCCAGCTACTAAGGAGGCAGAGATCAGAAACATCACAGCTTGAGGCCTAGCCAGGCAAAAAGTTGGCAAGACTCCATCTCAATAAATAAGCCAGGTGTGATGGCACACCTGTAATCCCACCTAGACAGGAGGTGTGTAGGTAGGAGAATCATGGTCCAAGGCCAGCCCCAAGCTGGCTGGTGACATAGCTCAAGTGACAGAGCACCTCTCTCATTCTGTAGGTTGTCTTTTTGCTCTGTTGGTTGTTTCCTTTGCTCTGTACAAGGTCCTGAGTTCAAAATCCCAGGACCACCAAAAATTTTAAAGAACTCAAACAACTCAAGTGTGCACGCGCACGCACACGCACACACACACACACAAGGCAACACACCTAAGTAGACATTTCTGAAAGGAAGACATACAAATGGTCAATAGGTATGTGAACAAGTACATGAAAAATGTGCTCAACATCAGTAATCATGAGGGAAATTCAAATCAAAAGCACAATGAGATTATCACCTCACCCTAGCAAGAATGACCAATGTCAAAAAGACAAAAGTGTTGGTGAGGATGTTGAAGAAAAGAAATCTTTGCATACTGTTGGTGGGAATGTAAATTAGTACAGCCACTATGGAAAACAGTATGGAAGTTCCTCAAAAATTTTTTTAAAAATAGGACTATCATATGATCCAGCAATCCCACTACTGGATAAATATCCAAAGGAAATGAAATCAGTCTGTCAAAGAGGCAACTGTACTTACATATTTACTGCAGCATTATTCACAACAGCCAAGATATGAAATGAACCTAAGTGTCCACCTACTGATGAATGGATAAAGTGTGGTACATATTCATAATGGAATATATTCGGTAATAAAAAAGAATGAAATCCTGTCATTTGTGACAACATGAAAGAAGTTAGAAATCATTACGTTAAGTGAAATAAGCCAGGCACAGTAAGACAACTATCACATTATCTCACTCATATATTAAATCTAAAAAAATTGATCTTGTACTAACATTTGAGAGTATATTGGTAGTTAGCAGAGGTCAGGGAGAATGGAGGGGTGGGGAAAGGCTGATCAACGAGTACTACATAATAATTAGATAGAAGTAAGCAGTTTTTGGTGTGCTAGTGTACATTTGAGTAATTATGGATGATAACATCTGCATTTTTTATTTTTAAAACTAGAAGAAAAGATTTTTAATATTTTCACCATAGAGAGGTTATAATTATTTGAGATAGATAAGTTTACCCTGATTTAAATGTTACATAATTAAACATTTATTGAAACATCACATGGTTAGCCCATAAATATGCACAATTTACATTATAAGATGAAATTTTAAAAAGGTTTTTAAAATAAAATTAATTTTAAAAAGAAACATTATTATGTACTACATAATGATATTTCAATCAGAGGGACTGCTTATATGATGGTGATCCCGTAAAATTACATCACCTAGTGATCTCATAGTGATCTTAGTTTGTACAAATGTACTCTATGTTGCTTGCACAGCATGAATTGTCTAACAATGCATTTCTCAGAATGTACCTCTGTCATTAATCAGTGAATTAGTCTATAGAAAGCAATATTCAGTCCTTAAAGTACTTGAGAGATAAATTGTTTGAAATTGAGGTAAGAGGCCGGTCTAAAATAACTTACATCTACTGTATAGAAAAAAAATACATACCAAATTTCCCCTATTAATCAGGAGTAAAACAAAATAAAACAGTCTGACAGATATCTAATCAGCCATGGAATGGGAAGAAATGAAAACAATCTGCACAATGGACAAAGAACCTAATCTGCAGCAGAATATAACCCGAAAAAATAAATAGTTTTCTTATGAGTGCTTTGTACTACAGGAACCAATGAGAATATAGATTTGATAAAGCACAGGAGCTCAAACAGAAGATGATAAAACAGGAAAATAACAGAAAAAATAAGAGTAAATAAAAAAGAAAAGCTAAACAAGACAATTCATTCAAATTATTAAACTAAAAATAGCAAAAGGGAAGAAAGAGAGGGAAAGGAGAGAAGGAGGGGAAAAAGAAAGAAAAGGGCCCCAAACCAAACTAATAGCATGGAGAACAAGTTGGGCTAATCATGATTAACTGCTTTCATCTTTCTCTTTCTCTTTTGCCTTATATAGTAACAAAGGATAGACATAGAGGATAAGGGAATCCAGAATCCCCGAGGTGGTGAACTTAACCAATAAAACAGAAAAAACATGTTCAGAGATAGGTTCAGAAAAATTTTCCAACAATGAACAAAGAAGTCATCAAAAGTATACCACATATCAGGAAAAAATGATACGGAATGATCACCTTTGAGTTATAGTCTTAAGTTATTAAATTTCAGAAAAAGAAAAGGAATTTTTTAGATAAATGTAATTATATATACACATGTACACATGTGTAAGCACATACACAAGACTACCTATAAGGGAGAAAATGTCAAGCTGGCTTTAGACTTCTTCACAGTTACATTCGGTAGCCAAAGATAACAGAATAATGTCTACAATGTTCTGAGAGAAAGAAAATGTGACCCATGAATGTAATATTCCACTAACTGTTCAAGTATAAAGGTAGTTGGCAGATATTCTTAGCATGAAAGAAAGTAATAAGTATCTCAAGACCTTCTTGAAGGAACTTCTTAGTGATGAAATCTAGACAACCAAGAAATCAATCAAAGTAAAGAATGTGGGAATAGAGAAGCCAAGGTATAAGACCTGATTGTAAGCATACAATCCTTTTAAGTAAGAAACTAAAACTAAATGGCTTTTTTCTTTTTCTTTTTTTATTATTGTTGTACTGGGGGTACATAGTGACATTTACAAAAGTTCTTACAATGTATCATAGTTCAATTCACCCCCTACATCATTCTTCTTTATCCTCCCTCCCCCCATTCCTAGGAAAACCAAACAGTTTTTAAAAGCTGATGATTTATGGTTAAATAATGGAAAGGATTCCAAAAGAATAAGAAGAATGAAGCTAAAACAAAAAAAATAATAATAATGGAAAGGAAATGTTGGAAACTGACAAAACAAAAATAACAAATAGTGGGAACAAGAGAAAAGAATTGAGAAGAAATGTAAGAAAGGTAATTTCTTCCTCTTTCACAACAGAGTCCACTGGTAATATTTAATATTGAAACTAACCACTAAGTCCACTCCTAGGTACCTATCTAAGAGAAATGAAAGCATATATTCAGATAAAACTCATAAGAAATGTTCATAGCAGCATAACTCTTCATAGCAAAATAGTGGAAATGACCCAAATGTCCATAAATAGGTAATGTATGGTATATACATATAATTGAATATTACTTAGTAATAGAAAGGATTTATGGCTACATATCATATATATAAAGGATTTATGGTTATGCTATAACATGGATAAACCTTCAAAATATCATGTTAAATGAAAAAAAGTCAGCCACAAAGGACCACATACTATATAATTCCATTTATACTAAATGACCAGGATAGGTAAATAGAGACAGTAAGTGGATCAGCAATTGCTTAGAGATGGCAAAGGATAGAGAGGTGGGGAGAGCAGTATTATAACTAAAGGTACAGAGTTTTCTTTCTGTTTGTTTGGGATTTTCAGTTGTTGTTTTGGCAGTACTCAGGGCCTTGTGCTTGCTAGGTAAGTGCTCTAGACCAATTGAGCCACATCTCTAGTACAACGAGGTTTCTTTTTTCTTTTCTTTTCTTTTTTAGGGTTTGTTTTTAAGGTAATAAAGTTGTTCTAAAATCAACTGAGTTGATGGCTACACAACTCCATTCATATACTAAAGCCATTGCTTTGTACATCATAAGTGGGTAAATTGTATAGCATGTGAATTTTATCTCCATAAAGCTGTTAACAAAAATACTTAAAGAGTGATTAACTGCTTAGTGGTTTTCATAGTATTTTTTAAGTTTAGAGGGATACTGATGACTAGAATCTTTTATATTAGAGATATATTTCTGTGAAGATTAGCAATTCTTTCATTTACTTAAATAAAATTATACAGAATAATTATAATTTATTATGATGCAGTATTACAAAGATTTTTCATCCTACACATCTAGTCATCCTTCTACATATAAAAAATATCTGAAATTATTTTCACCTAATGTGAAAACTGGGTAATAGGGATTTGGGTGATATGTTGCTTTCTTCTTTTTTGTTTCCTATACTGGTAACATTTTTACAACCAGTATGTTTTAATTTTATTTGTCTTAAAATTTTTCCTATGAAAGACAAAGTAAATATGCCAAAAGGTTGACATGTGGGTGGGTAGGATTAGGATTGATTTTATTTTTTTCTGCACTTTGTAAATTTTCCTACAATGAACATGTATTATTTTAGAAACAGAAGCAAAAAGAATAATAAAATAATTAAAGGGACATTGTAGCATTTAAAAAAATGACTACTTGGTTCTCACCTGGGCTCTTTCTGTTGCTCCTGAATGATCTTTCTTCCTGGCCAGATATCACCCATCTGTGTTTGATGAAGGAGGGACTGTCCCACTGTCTCTCTTTTATTCACTTCAAGATAAACAAAAGCATAGCAGGGTGGTGGCAGTGAGGACAGGAATGGGAAGCAACCCTTTGCAGCATATCCCCTAAAACACATCACACTTGCAAAAGACACAAATATAATCTTTTATATTCCCACAAACTGCCTGAGCCCATGGAGTTAAGACACTGCCATTCAGAAAACACTAGGATTCCACACCAATGGATCTATCACTGAGGTTAAGTCCTACAGTAAACCACCCCTAGACAAGTGAGATACCTGTAGGTTTGCGTCGCAGGGACATCCTAATTATCTCACTGCCTGTGCGGTAAGCAAAGCGATTCACTTTCTGGTCATAAAACCAATCTCCAGTTGCTTTCTTCAGCTCTCTGGAAAGGAATAAAAGAAAATGACAGATAAAGAATGGCTTTTGTCATTCAACTAACAGAGGCTGAGGAAATTCACACCACAACCAGGCCTCATCTCATCTCTGTACTAAGCCATAGGCAACACTCACATTTCCTTGGCGCACACCTTGCACCTCCAGGAACCATTGCTTTCCTGAATGCGGCACTCTCGACACACTAGGTGATTACAACCCCAACAAGTGTTGGTCTTGGGAGTCAAACGGCCCAGACTCTCCTGGCACCTAGCACAGGTCCGATCACTGTAGTGCTGGCTGCCCCTCTTGGCCCCTTTCCTTTTTATCTCCAGTAGCTCGTTCTTCAGTCGTCTGCCAAGACCCAAAAAGGAAGCATAAATGGATTAAAGATCTGCATAGGCTGGATGGAGATGTGCTGAGGACCAAAGACAGTAAGACTATTTGGTTCTCTAACAGCAACAAACTCAGAGCCCAACTTACCCAATGTACACTAGATCCTCTCAAAGTTAGAGGAGAGGCATAAGGAGAAGCCTAGATATTATTGGCCTAGGACTGCACACTTTTTCTTTTAGTCTTACCTAATCCTTTTCTCATCTGCTTTCCTGAGCTCCTCATCTCGTTGTAGAACATTGAGGATCAAATCCCTTTCCACTTCAGACAGAAAAGAGAGGTCTAGTATTTCTGACATGATGTATTCTACTTTTTCTTCTATTCTTCTTTCTTCAACGTGCTCAGACAAGGAGAGCTACGAAGTTACCTGAAATGAGAGAACAACCAATTTCACATAGATGACTTGTTCCAGAATAGGCCAATAGTCCTAGAGCCTTTCTGTAGGCTACTGTCCCCTTGATCCAGGATAAAGAGACAAAGTAGAAGAATCTGACCTATTTGCCTTTCCTACTCCCACCTGAATCATGCTCTGAAAATGAAGAGGACGTGATATTTTTCCAGAAATTATTCATGACCCCTGGAAAGGGTTGGGGTCATCTAGGATAACCATCTTAGTCTGCAAAGAGTATAAGAACAGCAGAGTCAAATATTTCCTCCACCAAGTGGTTCTTCAATAACTCAATTTTTATTTTTGAAATTATTAAATGTTCTCATGACACAATTCTACTAACCCAAATAATCAGGCAGTTAGTCTCTGTAGTAGAGGGGGAAAAAAATTTCCATGGCAACTCCCAGTCATTTCTTCATTCCTGACCAGCTCCCATGTTCTCGGAATTGAGTCAGTTTTCTGCTATGCTTCAAAAACTTCTACCAACTACTCTACCTCCCAAGGTTCTTGTTACACTAGCACTACAATTCAAGAATTGTTCTCCCCATTTCATGAATATTTGTTGAGTAACACTCTCAAGTACTGTGCAAAGTGCAGAACACCAAGGAAGACAGACACACATGAACACAGTACAATGTACGAAACGCTATTAGAGGGGCTATAAATTAAGTACTGTGAGAACTTAGAGAAGGAAGTAGCTAATTCTATCTTACATAGTTATGGGGGGGGGAAAGCTGTATGCATGGGAAGGTTTTACAGAAGAGGTAGATTTTGCCTTATTTTTAAACATTTATTTTATGTTAGAAAATGGCTATTGTAACCATTTCACTCAGAAATGATTTCTGTATTAAAACTTTTAGTTTACACTTAAAAAGAATCTTCTTACAAAACTTGAAGATATAGGAATGAGCAAGGGCTTTCTGAATAGGAGTTCAATTGCTCAGGAAATAAGAGCAAGAATTAACAAATGGAGCCAGGCACCGGTGGTTCATATCTGTAATCTTTAGCTACTTGGGAGACTGAAATCAGGAGGATCTCGGTTTGAGGCCAGCCCAGGAAAAAAAAAAGTTGGGAGGTCCCATCTCAACAACAAAAGAGTTGGGACTAATGGCACATGCCTATCATCCCAGCTAAGGCAGGAAGCCTAAAATAGGAGGATAGCCATCCAGGTCAGCATAAGCTAAAGTGAGACCCCATTTCCAAAATAGTAAGAGTAAAAAGGCCCGGAGATGTGGCTCAAGCAGTGGAGGACCTGCCTAGGAAGTGCAAAGCCCTGAGTTCAAACCCCAATAAAACACACACAAAAAAAGAATTAACAAATGGCATTACATAAAATTATAAAGCTTCTACACATCAAAGGAAATAATTACCAGAATGAAGAAACAGCCCATGGAATAGGAAAAAAAATCTTTGCAAGTTATTCATCTGATAAAGGATTAATATCCAAAATATATAAAGACCCCCAAAATTAAACACCAAAAGAACAAATAGTCCAATTAATAAGTGGGTAATAACTTGGACAGACATTTCTCCAAATAAGTAAACATGACCAATAAATAACATGAAGAAATGTTCAACATCTTCAGGCATAAAGGAAATGCAAATCAAAACTACACTGAGATTGTATCTCACCCCAGTCACAGTGGCTATCATCAGGAAAACAAACAACAAATACTGGAGAGGAAGTGGGGGGAGAGGGGGAGGGAGAAACAGGAACCATTACACACTATTGGTGGGCATGTAAGTTAGTGCAGTCACTATGGAAACTGGTATGAAGGTTCCTCAAGAAACTAAAAACAGAACTATTAAATGACCCTGTTCTAGGATTTGGGGGAAGGGCGATGAAAGAGAGCAGCAAAGATGGTGAATTCAGGTATGACATATTTGATACACTGTAAGAACTTTTGAAAATATTTCAATGTACCTCCACCTAGCACAACAATAATGACAAAAAAAAAAAAACCAAAGGAATGTAAGCCAGCATATAAGAGAGATACCTGCACACCCATGTTTATAGCAGCACCACTCACAATGGTAAAAGTATGGAAGCAAACCAGATACCCAAACACTGATGAATGGGTAAATAAAATGTGGTATATATACACAATGAAGTATTACTCAGCAATAAAGAAGAATTAAATTATGTCACTTGGCAGAAAAATGGATGGAACTGGAGATCATCAAGTTGAGCAAGATAAGTCAAGCTCAGAAAGACAAATAACGAATGTTTTCACTCATATGTGGAATCTAGACCTAATAATAAGTGATTGTAAAGGGGGAGACGGTTTTGGGGGGGAACCAGGAAGAGGAAGAAGGAGGAAAGGACAGGGTGATTGGGATGAGTATGATCAAATTACTATATATATAAGAAAATAGCATAATAAAACCTACTGAAAGCTATAAAAAAGAGGGGAGGCAAAAGGGGTATGAAAGAGTACTACAGTTGGAGTGAATTAATTAAAAATATCATGATTAACCCCCTTTGTACAATAAATTTATACTTAAAAAAATTTAAAAAAACGAATCCTCAGCTCATCCCCACTATACCTGTTCTTCAACATCATTAAAACCACAGTGTCTAAGCACTCCATTTTCTTTTGGTCCACTTGCCTATGCTGCTCTGTCCTCCTTCCCTACTTTTCCTGGACTCTAGATGACTCAACATTGCAACCACTCTTACAAGTACCCTACATATCCATGCATCTTTGTTACAGTTTGGATATGAAAAATCCTTCAAAGTCCCATGTGCTAAATGCTTGGCCCATGGCCCATGGCACTACCTGGACAGGTGGAACCTTTAAGAGGTGAGGTGTAGTGGGAGGTTTCAGGTTATTGGTGCATGCCTTCAAAGGAAATTGAGGGACTCTGATCTCTGTCTCTTCCTTTTTTGTGGGCTTTCTTTGCCATGTCCTACAATGACATACTGTGTTGCCGCAGTCTGAAAGCAATGGGGTGAATGAGTCATGTACTGAGACCTCCAAAATTCTGAGCAAATAAACCTTTTCTACTTATAAGTTATCTCAGGTACATTGTTACAATAATGGAAATCTGACTGATACAACCCACATCTCTCTGCCACAACTACTCATGAAAATCCCAAGCTTGGCTTGTCTGTTTCCATACCCAGACAGTATACATTTCCTGGTCTGGAATCTCAGCTGGACTCTCATGCTCACTCATAAATCCTGTTACTTGAAAAAGTTAAGTTTCCTTATCTAGTCCCTTCAGATTCTATTTCAAAACTTCATTCATCTCACATTCCCACTTTCCTTCTCTCTAGTCCTGTCAGACATCCTTGTCTCATACTTGTAAACATTTTTAAGTCCATCAACCATGAACTCCATTATTTCCCTGCTTCCTCCCCAACATCACTTGCTAATCTGACTCCTTTCAGAAAAGTCATATGCCACTCTCAGCACCACATTTGATCGCGGGTTGCTACTGTTTCCAACATTAACCCTCTTACATAAGTCAACTCACTTTATACGGTATCTTGCGAAATAAATTATGGGGAGGAGCAATCAGGATAAGAACAAATATTAAAAGGCAAGGCGAAAAAGTAAAGAATAGAAAAAGAAGCACAAAAAATAAAAGGTAAGATAGATACAAATATAAGCAAAACTGACCTTTTAAAATACAGAGAGTAAGGTCAGGCATGGTAGTTCATACTTGCAATAACAACTACTCAGGAGGGAGAGATCAGGAGAATTATGGCTTAATGCCAGCCAAGGAAAAAATTAGCAAGACCCCCATCTCAACCAAAAGCTCAGCATGGTGGCATGCACCCGCCATCCCAGCTACACAGAAAGCATAAATAGGAAAATCATGGTTCAGGCCAGCCTAGGCAAAGATGTGAGACCCTGTCCAAAAAATAACTAAGGAAGCAAAAAGGGCTAAGGGCATGGCTAAGCTCCTGCCTAGCAGGCATGAGGCTCTGAGTTCAAACCACACCCCCTCAAAAGACAGACATTAACAGATTGGAGAAAGTAAAAATCCAGCTATATTTCATTTATAAGGGACATAACTAAAACATAAATTCAAGGAAAAATTCAAAATAAAAAATATCAAAAGGACATACAAGGTAAATGGTAACAAAAAGAAAGTTGAGGTGGCCATATTAATACCTAAATGTAAAACTTTAAGACAATAAAAGCATTATATAGGATAGAGAAGATTGCAACATAGAGACAATACACCCGCATGTACTAATAAAACATCTCTAAATATGTAAGGGAAGATTAAATACAGTAGAGTGAAAAATTGTTCATCAAAATGGGTGGCTAACATGCCTAATTAATTGTTTTTCCAATTACTAATAGTACAAGCAGATAAATTAGTGAATACATAAATAAGTTAAACAACAAAATGAATTTGGCTTAATGAACATATGAAAAAGTCTATAATCCAACTGGAGAATCACATTCTTCTCAAGCTCACATGGAATATTTGCCCCATGAATTGACCATGTACTAGGCTGTGATATAAGTCTCAATAGACATTTTTCCAAAACTAATTCTCATACAGACCACAGTCCTTTGACTTTAAGTTAGAAGAAAATTAAATTAGGAGACAATTTTAAAGGATAATTTTAATCTTAATACCATCTGAAAATTTAAAACACACTTCTAAATAACCCATAGATAAAAGATGATATTATAATGGACTAAATACATTCTTAACATATTAGAAAAAAACTGCCTTTTGCTTCACCTCCACCATCACTGCTGCCCATATACTGTGGGACAGAAATTTGAAAGGGAAAAATGTAGAATAAAAATAATGCTTTTAAGCCAGACAGTGACTCATACTTGTAATCATAGTTACTCTGGAGGTAGAGATTGGGAGGATCACAGTTCAAGACCAGCCCAAGCAAAAAGTTAGCAAGACCCCATGTCAACCAATAAAAAAGCTATGTGTGGTAGTGCACATCTGTCACCCCAGCTACACAGGAAGTATAAATAGGAGAAATGTGACACAGG